ACAAAGATGCTTTACGTTGGACTTCCTGCCTTGCCAGGCAGCACCTGTCCCAGGCTGAAGGAGATAGAGTTGGGCATCTGTTGCTCAGCAGGCCGCTTTCTGTGTAGTTGCCTAAGCTCGCTCGCCCTGCTTTCCCACACTCTTTACCACGGCCAACAGCAGTACTGCTTTGGCTGTGCTGACCTCTGAAAAGGCCCTTCATAGCGCTGAGCTTTAAAAATGGAGGGAGCGTTAATTTAACCAGCGTTCAAGCACAAACTGTTTACCATTTTCCCCACTGGCTATAAGTAAACATATAAAAGAGAGACTGTACTACTCACTCGTATGGAAAGTGTATTGTATTCAGGTTGTCCGCGGATCCTTAAAATGTCTTAAATTCGTTTAACTAAAAAAAAAAGGCCTTAGTTTGTCTTAAAATGTTTTAAATCCATCTCCCAAAGGTCTCAAAATGGCCCACACAAATAACACAATTTTGTGTTTATTATCCTGCATTGCATTCTGCAATTTCCAGATTTCACATGCCCGTTAGCTTTTTAACGGCAGATTGAACTAAGCAGAACCAACGGCATTATTTAAGGCTCCGAGGGGCGCTGATTGCAGGTACTTTGTTTTAGCTAGCGGAGGCGGCACCGTAGGCATGGGGAAGTGTAGATTTAATTGGTTGGATAACCCCAGTTTTGCACCGTGGTTAAAAAGGTAATCTGTACGGAGCGCGGTGCTCTGGTGTCTGCACACGATAACAAAGCTGACAAGAATCATCAACAATCAGAGCTGAAAAAACAAGCGAACTCTGCTCCAGGTGTGGATCAGCTTACAGAAGGATGCTGATCAGCGTGCTGAAGAAGCTGATCGGCACCTGGAGCAGAGTTCGCTTCTTTTTTTCAGCTCTGATTGTTCTGATTCTGAGAAAATTGCAGAAAAAAGAGACCGAATTTTCAGTGTAAGACTGTTAGTTAATGTTTGTTTGAAATATTGGTTCATCAGAAAATACAGGAATCACATGTTTACAGTAAGGTCTGTAACTGTAATGTTGGTGCCATTGTGTGCTTTTTGCCATTTTGGATTTGCGTAAGTGGTCTTAATTTTGTCTCTGAGTGGCCCCCGTACCTGCAGAGACCCTGATCTTTACTTTTGTGGTTTTACTGTTTGTTTTAGATGAGTTAGCAAGCTTGCTAACCGCAGATGCACACAGTCCACCCCGCTGCTGCCAACCGTATATAACTGTCTGATATAATTATGTTCATTTCTGTATCGTTACTCTTTATTGTTCGCGATATTGAGTGAGCTAGCTTGCTAACTCCACCAACGTGGTGTTTTTTTTTTGTTGCCACTCTTCCAGGCGAGCCTTGGTCGGGCCAGTTTGACAAACTGCTAATGTCTTGTTGGTTTAGGCTTTATAGGCCTGCCACGGTCATGGAATTTCAGCCAGCAGTGATTTGCGATATAAATATTTGTGACTAACAGTTTAATTGTCTTAATTTTGTTAATTGTATGCAAATTGTATGTTAATGTATAAGCCTGAGGGCGGCACGGTGGCGCAGTGGGTAGCGCTGTCGCCTCACAGCAAGAAGGGCCTGGGTTTGATTCCCGGCCGGGTGACCAGGGTCATTTCTGTGTGGAGTGTACATTTCTCCCCGTGTCTGCCTGGGTTTCCTCCGGGTACTCCGGTTTCCTCCCACAGTCCAAAAACATGCAGTCAGGCTGATTGGACATGCTGAATTGCCCCTAGGTGTGAATGTGTGTGACTGTATATGTCTGTCTGTCTGCCCTGCGATGGACTGGCGACCTGTCCAGGGTGTATCCTGCCTTTTAGTTTGGGGTTTATAGGTCTCTTCCCGTTCAAAGAGGATATTCAACAAGCATTTCAATAGGAGCCTGGTCCTGTATGAGTAGGGATAACTGCCCGGGGACATTGCCAGGATGCATTGAGAAGACAGACATTCTTATAAGGACTTTGAAATAACTCAAATAGACTAATATTACTCATCTGGATATGTATTCAGTTCGATTCAGTTGCCAGTCGTGTGGTAACTGTGATGGGCCTAATGGCTAACAATAAGTGAACATGATGCTAACTAGTGACATATTAACGTTCTTTGGCTTTAAGCTCTTAAATGGCCAAAAGCTTTATTACACACGTCTGTAATCTAAGAATAGCTCAGTCAGTTTGCCTTGGAGTTCCTGTAGTTACTGAATACTCAGCCGTAGAATGTAATAAGCCTGGGATTTTAAGGGTTGGTTAGCCGTCCTTTCAAGATATGTTTCTTCGTCATACAAGCCAGTCAACTTGTACCAAAGGTTAGTTATTAAAGGGGTCAAGTCAGCGCCTCCGTGGATGAGGATAGTCTTTGTTGCTCCTCTGTAATACTGCCTCGGCCCCCGGCAGTGTGCGGAGTAGATAAGGCTTGATGTTCGTACGTTAAGGATCAAATAGGTCATTTATCCATATAGTACCGGACTGTGCCCTGATGTGCGTTGCGTGCTGAATGGACTCTTATCTAGGTTCCTCTTGGTGACACCGTGAATCCGGAGAGACAGCGTGTTTTTGTTCTGTAACACAGACGTCGAGTCCAGGCTTGTTGGATCCTCAGCTTATGGACAGTCTGTCTGCCTGACAGGAAGGGTAATCTTGAATTAATCTGCACTTTGAAGCTGCACTTTGAAGCTCTTGCTTCAGTGAACTAATTTTCACACTGCTGCCAAAAACTGCAGCTTCTGAGGGTTAAACTTAGCATAGAGCAGGTTAGCATTGCCTCATGTTAGCTGGCCACTGCTAGCTTGTATTCTTTTTTCTTCTTCTTAGTGTTAGTACGTTAGTATTTTGAGGGAAAGTGTTAGCCTGCTCTTCAGTGAAGGACAGGCCTGAGGTCAGCATAAGAGGGTAACCTCCAGTAGGACTCCCAGTCCAGGACATGCTACCAACATCCTGCCAGCACCATCCCTTTCTCCTCTCGCTCACATGCTCCCTGTAGATCTCTTCATCAACCACAATGAGTTGGGAATGGCAGATCCAGTATGTGGATATCAGCTTACATATGCGCACTTATTCACGCGTCTTACCCCCCAACAGCGCACAGACCCCCTGACCACACGGCTATTGCAGTCAGTCAGGTCAGTCCTTCGTGCTTATCCTCGCCCTCTGTCTGTGTGAAGAATCGTGTGGAATGATGGTTTGGAATATAGCTGATGCCTTCAACAAACAGACGTCTCTGATCGGTTCTGCTAGGACTTTCTCTGTTTGTTTTTCTGCCAAGAAACCTGCCAAGGTTTTAGAAAAATACAGAACGGAATCCACAGACCTTTCCAATAAGCTGAACCTCTTGATTGGCTTACAGATTTTAGGAAGTGTTTCCTGTTGGGTTATTGCTGGTGGGCCAACGTTTGGTGGGCTGTCTCTTATAATGACACAGATCTGGGGTCGGGTAAAGGACCGCTGAAGAGGTGGACCAGGTCAGAAGTTAATTTGATGCATTTTTGTGGGTTGACTTGATATGAAATATTGAATTTGTTCATATAAACTACAAATTTGCTTTACATTGTTTCATTCAAAGTATTTATTTGAGTTGAATAAATCAATTTGAATTGCTTGACAAACCATTTTTACAGTGCATCTCTTACTTGGAGAAAGTCTTGTAGGGCTTTTTCTTCAAGTTCTAATGACACATGTTGTCTGAGGTCTGTCCCAGAGCTTAAACCAAACTGAGCGCAGCTGTGAAATGTCCCTTACTAAGACAGTGGGCTGCAGATCCTTTGTGTGAGAGACTCTGTAGTTGTGGCCTGGATTGTGTTCAACCACTGGCCAAGTTAGAATGTAAGAACAACTGAACTGAAGTTCTGAGCGTTTCATTTAAACACATGCAGTGATCTGCTGCACTGTGGAGAACATTTGAATGCATGAAATGGAATGTGTGTACAAGTGGTGTGGTTTAGAAAACTGTACTGAAAATGTTCAAATGGTCAATTTGGAATTTTCTCTGCTCTAATAAACCAAATAATTAAGACTTTTCACACCTAGGTTGTTTGCTAAAGTTTGGTTTTTGTGACGTCATGTCTTTTTCATTTGGTGTAGTTGGTTTTGCACTGCAGTGGCTGAAGTACACCAAATTATACAGGCAGGTGTTCTTTGGCAGACACACAAACACACTGTGACTTTCACATTTGCCTCCATTAGTGCCCAAGAAAAAACAACCACTTGAAAGCTGACTGAGACATGCAATTTTTGGCCGGTTTAAAAGGTTTAAATGGATGTAAAATATTGCTAACTGAACTAAAATGTTGAACGAAGGAAAAGGTTTGAGTCCAAAGAAAGGAAGATCCATATCAGCTAAAAAGAGAAATCTTGGCATGATATTGCCTATTTTCTCTAACTGTCTTTCTTCCTGGCCCATGTTTCAGTGTCTTACCAACATAGCTTAAGTCTTGTGTGACGGCGCTTTTTTTGTTGTAAAACACTGACATTCATGATTTAAAGTGCCCATATCATGGAATTATCCCTGGAATTGGCTTTTTTTTTAATAAAAAGATGTAAACATTGTAAAATGGTCCATTTCCAACACCTGCTTACCTTGCATTCTTAGTCTGTACAGGCCGTAAATGGAAACTAAGCTAAAAACAGCTTATGTCACTAAAGACGTCACAAAAGCCAACATGTTGACGTATGTCATATGACTGTGTTTTGAATGAACAGGGCCAGCCACTGAGGTCAGAGATTATTTAGTTATAGCAGTCTTCAAGAAACCATAACAACAGCAGCCTGTTTATTTGTAATAGAATCAGAGGGATTGGAAAACGGTCATGTAATTAAATTAGGACGGTTTTGGCACAAACTCACTCAAACATCATAAATAAATATTAACACATTTTAAGAGAAATACAAGACGTTAAAGGGTTGAATGTAAAAATATTTTTTTTATTATGGCCATATTCTCTTGCCTTTTTGCACAAATCTTTTGCTGTTGTCTTTTTTTTTATTTGCAGTTGGAGCCACGGTGAGCGTGGAAATGGTGGGCGACGCTGAAGTTTATAGGACTGATTCAGCAGAAATCCGCTGCCTGTACAATTTCTCTGAAACTGTCAGCGCAGTGGAGGTGCAGTGGTTTGTGGTATGTACCACTAATTTCTGTCGCCAGCTCGTAGTTGGTAGCTGTACTGACAAAAATGAGCAAGTGTTCGGCTGGCTTTTCCAAAAGGAGACATTTTTGATTTCAGTATGAGCATCTTGTATAACTAAACTACATTTCCCATGAACCTCAGAAAAATCATCAGGGAAAAAGAATTAGGATAGCCTACAGTGACCTGACTACGCGAATCCAGGATAAAAACACAGAGTACACTAAACGCATCCACGTGGCAGGGCACAGTGGTGAAGAAATCCTGACCATCGAGAACGTGGAACTGTCTGACGAGAGGGAGTTCTTCTGCCTGGTGGATGGCCTGGCAGCAGGCATAGAAGAAGGCAGGCTCCACCTAAAGGGTCTTTGGTGAGTCTGTTTCTTTTAATAATAATAATAATGATAATAATAATAATAATAATAATAATAATTAGGGGTGTTAAAATGAATGGAAGCTAGGTAGTGGCTTATGTGTTCATTTTTTGGCCCTCAGGCTTTTTTAAAATATTAATTTCTGTAAAACGGCTGGGGGTGTTGTTATTATTGTCTGTGTTAACTGTGCTGTGTACTGTTCCTGGAGTTACGTTAATGTATTCACTCACTGGTGTATTTTTGATAATACATTCAAATCATCCAAAAACAGTAGAATTAAATTAAGTAGACGAAATCCTGATACACAGTAATTTCCTAAAGAATCGTAATTAAATCATTGTGAGTTATCATTACTACTACTACTACTAATAATAATATAGTAATAAAATTAATTAGCATCTTTCCTATGTAAAACTGCAACATAAAGTGCTGCTCATGGTATGTAAATGGAGCTGTGTAGATCATTGTATATGTAGTGGCATTTATCCTGAGAAAACATACATGCAGAGATCACTTGGAGCACCGTAGACCATAGGCTTGCACAGCAGCTATAATAGTGTCCAGGGGTTTATTGTCGTTTATTCCATAGTTTGAGCAGCAAAAAAGTTTCCATTGCCTTTTTTATTCTTTACTGCTGGTAAACACCTGTGTGGTACCCCTGGTGCTGACCTGTGCTTCTATGGTACCATCATATATGCACCTGTGCTCACCCTCGCCACCCAATGTCAGAACTAAATCATTGCATCACATTTTCAAGAGTGACCTACACACCAGTGTGGCTCCTACAGTATTTACATCAAACAGCTCATGACAAAAAAGAAGATAAAATCAAAAGAACACTGTCTTTTTTTTTGGATTTTTACCCAATTTTCTCCCCAATTTAGTCGTCTCCAATTCCACCCGCTAGTTAGGACTCCCCCAGTCACACAATACTACCAACGCTAGGAGGGTGAAGGCTAACACAGGCTTCCTCCGAGACCTGTGAAACCAGCCACTGCTTCTTTTCGAACTGCCGCTCACGCAACGTCACTGGACAGCCGAACGCGCTCGGAGGAAAGCGCCAACCGCCAGATCTGTTACGTCAGCTAACAGACGCCTGCACGTGATGGGGGGAGAAGGTGGGGGGGGCATCCTACCCACCCAGAGAGAGCGAGGCCAATTGTGCTCTCTCGGACTCCCGGCTACGGACGACTGTAGCATCACCAGGGATCTAACTCGCGATCTCCTGATGACAGGGCCAACGCTTAGACGGTTGTGCCACTCGGGAGCCCTAACACTATGTCTTTTTAATAAAAGTACAAGAGTAAATGAAGTTCTACTGTGTTTTCCCCATAAGAAATGATTTTTGCTTCGGTTTGTTCTGTTTAGACCCTCCAGAGCCTCCTGTGATTGAAGCTGTCCATTCTGGGGTTTCTGTGGCCAATATCTTACCATCGAAGGTCAGTGTCAGTCTCAAGCCCTGCTAGTTATGTTGGTTCCGAGTGTGTGATGTCCATATGTTTTATTTATCCCATGACTAGATCGCAACTTGTGAATGTAAAGGCTACCCCCAGCCCAACATCACTTGGTATCGCAACAACAGTGTGCTGTGCCACAAATATGGCCGTAAGTAAAACAGAGAATAGATCCATTTGTCTTATCCTGAAAGTTATTTACTGTGTTGTGTAACGAGACTTAAAGGAACACTCCAGCATTTTTCAGCTTGATCTCTATTTGCTGCATCTGTAGCGTACAATAGTTTGGCACGACAATAATTTAAACACGTTTTCCTTTACTTAGTAAAAGAATAGGAAAACCCCTTGACTCAGATCACACTTCTAATAGAAGCCAGTAGGTAGTTGCTTGAGTACCGGGAAACGTGTTGAAATTATTGCGATACACCACAGTTCTGTTTTCACTCCAGGAGCTCAGTGTTTCCTCTCTGTCTGTCAGTTTAAAGGAAAGCTTGTGTATGTGTTATCTCAGAGGTGCACGTGATTACTTTGGTATCCAAGGACTCCACTGGGCTGTTCACAGTGCAGAGTGAGCTCCAGTATAAGGTGACCAAGGAGGACAAGGACGTACACTTCTTCTGCAGCGTCGTCTATTACGTCCCTGGGGCTGCCCGAACGGTCGAGTCCAAAAGGGTCAACATCAGTGTGCACTGTGAGTCTCCACACTGCCTCACCACTTGTTCTGTTTGCCCGTGACTTCTTAATGAAGGCCGAGCTGAATGCACTTCCAAAATATGAGAGAGTTCTTGTTACTACAGGGCGACATATGGCCAAAACAACAAATTCTCAGGAGATCCACTCACAGCAGGACCTGCCAGTCAGTGTAACAGAGCAAGCTCTGAGAGAGACAGTTTCATTGTTAAGATGATGGCGAGTGAAAAAGACTGAATTTGAGGAGATTAAGGCAGAAATGGCTGCACGTCCTCTGCAGTGTGGAATTGGTTCTGATTTCTTAAATCAGATGTACTTTGACTCGTAAAGGAATGGAGCGGTGAGGCTAACGTTACTAACAAACACTAGAACTCAGTAGTCACCCAAACAGCCTATTTTCTATAAAAATGTATGACTAAAACTTTTCAACCCACAAAAAAAACGCATCCAGGTCTTCAGGTCACGCAGACTTGTCAGTGTGGTTAAGAGCACAGTATGACTCACTGTACAACTATAAAAATGAACAAAATTGCGAGCAGCCAGTTTAGACAGCAGTGTACTCACACACCACCTCAGGAGTAGAAGTGCTGATCTACAACCAGTATTTGTGAAAACGACTATCATAAATACGAAGGATTCTGATCCAAGATCAGTCCTGCTTTGTGAATTCCGGTGCTGATGTTGTCTGAAATGGCTGGAGGAGTTTGGTTCATTTTTGTGGTGCACAGTAAGTCATACTCTAAACCACATGGACAAGTCTGCACAACCTTGGTGAAGACTTGGATGTGGGTTAATTGGGTTGAAAGATTTTTGTGAACATATTTTTACAGAAATGATTTGAGTGACTATTGAGTTCAAGTGTTTGGTTAGCAACATTAGCCATGTAGCTCCAGCACCAAACTAAAGAAGCACAATTTGTATTCTAAACATGTCTTGGCTGATTGCCTGTATCTGGTATAAGAGGAAAATGGGCCACATCTGATTTTTTGCCAAACTTTTGCTTTAAGTAAGAGGCTTAATTTCTGTTTATTTGTCAGGTTTCAAAATATTGTTCTTCAGACTTCAGATTGAGCGAGTAAATATATAAAAAATTGTTAATAATTAAGAATGACATGAAATACATTGTATTGTATGTTAATAATTGTACGTTAATGATATGCATATGATGCCCTAAGTGTAACTAAAGCCCAGCAGTGAGGAGCTGAACTTTACCCTCCTCTGCTGTCACTGCAGACTGGCAGGGTCGCCTACAGAGCAGCGCTGGTAGCTGTTAATGAAGTGATGCTCTTTTTATTTGAGGGTCCCATTTCAGAGGGAAGATTTCAACCACTACCCTGTAACTCAGTTCCAAGGGTCAACTCTCGAAAACAAGGGGTAGGGGTAAAAGTAAGAAATGGGACAGGGACCCAAATGGCTGAGCGTCTCTGCTTTTTTTGTGTCCCACAGACCCCACGACCAAAGTCGAGATGTGGAGGGAATCACCCCGGGGTCTGGTCAAAGAAGGAGACACAGTGGAGATCCGTTGCCGTGGCAATGGCAGCCCCCTGCCACCCGTCACTTTCAGTCGAGAACAAGTGAGAATGGTCCCCCAGTTTTTTTTAATCTGCATAATTTAATAGTTGAGACATACAGAGTCATTGAGAGTGGAATGATAAGAAAAGGTGCATTGTAGAGCAAGGGGTCACGATGTCTTCAACACGAGTATAGACATTTTATTCATTGTCTAAACCAGTAAACGTAAATAATCATGACCATCTGTGTTTATACAGCTGTTTTTATTGTAGTTACATACAGTCAAATACAAAGGTCTCATAGCCCCTCGTCAAATTACGTTTTGTTGATTCTGAAGTGGAAAGTTAACACGCCCTTCTACTGCTGTTCATTCACTGAATCAAACATATGGGGAAAAAATGAAACATTAAATATAGCCTTTGTGAAAGTTATGGAATATTTTATTATTTTTTATGTTAAACTAAGCAAATAAATAGAAATTTGAACTAGGATTTACAGAAAAAAATGTCATAATAAAGCGTGTTCCCTGTAGGGGATTTGTTCATTTATTTTCACTTAGAAAATCAACAAAACATGCAGTTTGACTGAAGGTGCAATTACAAATGATAGACTCAGTAAACTAGGCAGATGCTTATATAAAGAAGCCATGATGTCCTCATACTTTTGGCAGTGCAAATTTGAACAAATAAAGTAATAATAATATATCAATGTTGTGCAAAAACCTCCACATTTGCTGCTTTTCACTCGTTTACGTAAATTGAAAACACCAATTACCCTTTGCGTTGTGTTAAATTTTCAAGATTAATGGACCAAAATAAATATTCCAAAAACATTTTTTTCCCTTCTCCTGTAAGTTACCATTTTGGAGGTACTTGGTTTTGCTCATACAGCAACAATACATAAACATTACTGCTTGCTCTGAACTCTACACCAGCGTAGAGTGATCAGTGGTTTTCTGCCGTCTGTCCTCTGTGTCCTCTGTAGCGTCCAGAAGAGAAGCTGGAGGCTGATAATGACCTGCTGGTGCTAAAGGAGGTGACCCGTGACGACAGCGGCAAGTATCTCTGCCGTGCTCTAGACGTGGACTCCACAGACTATGAGGACGTGGTGGGGAATCTCCAGCTTACCGTGCACTGTGAGTAGCTGCAGCTCTAACACTCAACATCCTGGGCACTGAACTTGATCCAGATTTCCAATCAGACGGCGCTGCTTAAACCTGATTCTGCTGACTGGGTTCTGGTCTTTGTTGTGGAAGCGAGACGTCTGGAGAAATCATGTTGCTGGAACGGTTTTGCAGCAGCAGGAATTGCCTGTTGCTAAGTATAATTCCCTATTAACAACATTAACATTTTAGGGTGATGTATCCTTTCAGCAAAGCCCATATCATGGAAAACACGTCTTGCTTGCTCGTTTTGAATAATAAAGCTTGATGTAATTTGTAAACATTGTTTTTAAAATGTACCGTTCATTCCCTTTACGTTCTACTCAGAAATGAAGCACCGAAAAGCCTGCTTTGAATGTTTTTGTGATGTTATAAATACCAGCACATTTACACTGCTGTGCAAAAGTCCACCCTTCGATGTGAGGTCTGGACACTGGGGTGGTCAGTCCATTGTTCTCAGAACACCAGCAGCTTTATTGACAAATCAATCTTTATTGACAGCTTAAATGACAAATCGGCTTTAGTGTGTTGTCTGCAGAGGGTGTGTTAACTTATTTTCACATAGAAAATCAACAAAACGTGTAGCTGCATTTGACTGGGGTGCTCAAACCTGCACACGACTCTAACTGCATTGTCTTGTATTGTTGCTGGTGGGGAAAGTTCTGGTCTAAACGCACCAGCACAAATAGACGCAGAGCGGCGTAGAACATCGACTCTTTAACTGTGAAACATGCCTGGTAAATTCTCTCCCGAAGGCAGACGGTAATAAACTCAAAGAGGAGACCAAAGTTCTTAGCACAGATTATGTGACAGTGCATGCGTGTGTGTTTGCCTCTGTGTGTGTGTGCACAGATCTGGACCCAGCTGTCATGGTCCCCAGAGACCCTGAGGTTATGCAGGAGGGGGAGAACCTGACCGCCACCTGTAATGCCTTATCTTCTCTGGATACGAGCGCTGTGTGGAGTAAGGTACGTACGTTCACACCGTCCCACTGTTCAGCAGCTCCTAGTCTCTCATATCTACACTGACAGTCACATTTTGAAATTCAGTTCCAAAAAGCCACAAGAGCAACACAAAACCAGCATGCATCACTTACAAACCTGAGACAACCACAAGACAAAAATGGGGTGTATGTACGCAAGGAAAGTGAGGGGGCTTAGCGACAGACAAGACACAGGGTACACAGTGACGTGGAGCTGGTAAACCTGGAAGGAGCAGACAAGGAAAAGGGCAGGAACGCTCCAGCAGGAGAATGATTTTCCAACAGCTGAGCTGTAAGTGATCTTGTCTGGACGGCCATCACGCTTTAAAAGACCAGTAAGATATGCAGGGTCTACACTCTCAAATATGACATTGCTTCAAGGGTTCTTTAGTAAAGAAAATGGTTCTGCAGATTGATGGGGACTGTTTTACATGGTTTTGCATAGAACCTGTTTGAAAAGGGTTCTATAAAGCACCAAACAGCATTCTTCTATTGTTATGATGTTGAGCCTGTAACAGTAGAAGAACCCTTTCTGGTGCTGTATAGAAGCCTTTTCAAAAAGGATGCAAACAACTCTTTAATCATGCAAAGGGTCATTTGAGTGTTCATGGTTCTATATAGAACCGTTTTCTTTACTAAAGAGCCCTTGAAGAACCGTCCTTTTTAAAGTGTGTGGGCCATTAAAGGTTCACATGTGATAAGCAATATTATAAGCAACACAGTGAAATGGAGTTAATGATCCATTTGCTGCCTTTAACGTAAAATGTTACTGATCACCACCTTTCAGAATTGAGGCTGAGTGGATTAGTTATATTATTACTTCATTCTCAGTGCTGCAGAGCTTCCTTAGCTTTTTCACCGCTCTGATCAACGTTTCTTACAGCTTCGTAGAAATGATTTGAAAGCTACACTGGTACTATTAGAGCAATGAAATGATTTGATCTACAACATATCAATAATTATTCCCTCAGTCTGACCGTATGTCTGTCTCTGTGTGGTTAGAATGGTGTAGAGATTGGAAAGGGAAATGCGCTGCATCTGCAGGACGCTACATCTGAAACAACTGGACATTACCACTGTGAGGTGACCGTTCTGTCCCTGCCAGCTCTGCAGACCGGAGGATCAGTCCACATCATTGTGCAGGGTAAATCACAGGCACTCCATTATCAGCAGTACAGTGGATTAAGCCTACATTGCGAGTCAGTGGCCTGTTTGTTCAGAAACTTGAGTGACGTTCCCTTTAACTCCTGTCAATCTGCCTTCAGAGCCGTTACAGGGCTGGCATGTCCGCGTTGGCCACAGTGGAACAGACCGGAGTGTAGAACATATGCTGCCGTGCTTTCCGTCACCGTGTAAAAGAAGCTCTCTGGAAGCACTTCCTGTTGATTTGTTTGATCAGAGTAACAATAAAACGCAGCCAGTACAGTCGTGTGCAGAATTTTGTGCGCCCCTGGTCAAGTGCCATGTTTTGTTGATTTCCTAAGTGAAAATAAGTGAACACATCCTCTACAGCAGGGTTTCTCCACCAGTGGGCCGTGAAGCACTCTCTAGTGGTCCGTGGGCCTGAACTCAGGGGGAGGCAGTGGTTCGCAGTGGGTCGGTAGTGACGTATGAGGCGATGCAGCCGCTGGCGCACAGGGCAGTTAGCCGGAGATGGATTGGTTCCTCAGGGTGTTTCTCCTACCTTGCTCGGTGCGGACCTATCAAACTCTTTTCTTTGGTTCGCTCCGTTCTGACGTGTGTGAACACTTCACCCGTACTCGGGTCTGAAGCAAACAGCCGAAACCCGCGGGTCTCGATCTGCTTCCAACCGGACCTGTTCAGTTCACTGCCGGTGGGACGCGTTTTATGATGAAACGAGGGAATCGTCAGTAGAGCCGTCTTTCCTCTTCTTCTACCAGCACATCGGCGCTGTACTGTCAGTATAATCTGCCTGTTTTAACGTCAGACTTATTGCTCACATGTTGTTCCTGCAGCTCGAGCTGCAGCCGATAAAAACGACAGACGAGCCTTAAAATAATAGCGAAGATCTGCGTTTGATTTCTGGCTGAGAATCAGCGACGTGAGTAGATAAACTCAGCCTGATAAACTAATGAAAAGAAGCCGATATCAAGTAAGGTTTATCATTGTTGTTGATTGTAGCGACGCTGATCCAAAAGTGTGAGTGGAGTGAGGTTTATTTCAGATGAGGCGCTAAAACCCTCAAAACTAAAGAGACTACAGACCAAACAGTGACTCCTGTGGGAGCCACAAGAGTGTTTTCAGTGAATTCGCGATGGACTGCAGCTCCAAATCACAGTCACATCTGCATCTACCTTTTTTTCTTTTTGCCCTTTTTTTCTTTTTGCCCTTTTTTGACATCTCTGCAAACGTTTTTTTTTAAACATGTTTTTTAGCATAACTGCAAATTTAGTTTTTTGTGATTGAAGTGAAATGGACGATCTGATCTTTTTTCAGGCCCTAATTCAGAGGTTTCTGTGTGGGCGAATAAGAAAAAACTATTTAAAAAAGTTGATTTTAGTTTTTTGTGGGCCGCTATGCTTTCTAGTTATGAACAGGTGGGTGAAAAAGGTTGAGAACTCCTGCTCTACAGAGAACTCTGGACTCTGCACGTTTGAATACACAGCTTCTGTTTACTTGCTGAATTTAACAAAAAATGTAGCCTGAGCAAAAGCTAAAGCACATTTTATATTTTTTACATCAACATGTTCAACTCAGCAAAAGAAACAGAAAATATGCGCTAAAATTTACAGAAGATGACCATGTTTAAATTTAAATGTACGTTCTTTGTGGAGGACGTGTTTTAACTTATTTTCACCTCGATAAACAGCAAAACATGTAAATTGGCTAGGGGTATTCAGATTTTTTACTACAACTGATCATTTCCGTTCATTTTTTCCTGCTGAAAAACATAGTTTATGACACAAACTGAATACAATCTAAAATGTGTTGGTTTTGTTAGATCTGTACATATCAAATAAATGCAACAACAAGGCTGAGAAATCACGTTATTAATGGAGAGGAGCAGATTAAACAGCAGAAGTAGCTACATTTTGGCATCGTAATAAGGCATCATAAGGCTAAAGGAATACTAATATGGATAATAGTGAGTTGTAGCTATTTTTCCCTTCTACCGTTCTTTGACAGCACACCTTCCTTCATCGTTAGCAGTGCTCTCGTTGCACAGAGTTTCAACAAAGCTCTTTAAAAGTGTAGTTAATAGTGGTGTAACAGTGCCTCATGACAAATCAGAAATGTGACAGGGCATTGTGGAGAATAGGCATATTACTTACGGGATCGAATGCAGTTGCACAGTCAGCACCGTTTAAGCAGGCAGTCGTCATTTTTTACAATTCAAATGCGAATTGTGAACCCAGTATTGAGAACTGCATCAAATCGGGGGCTGAGTGTGTTGTTACGCCCGTGGTAGTTAATGCAGTCATTTAATTATTATGTAATTACATAAGTAAGTAATTACATAATTTATTACGTAATTAACAACATTTACACTCAACTTACATTTTGTCGGTGCAAGTTTGAGTCAGTACACTTCTGACTTCGAGTTTGTTAGAGTGTCAGAAAGTGCAGTTTCAATAAGAGCTTGTTTCGATGTTACGAGTGAAAAATAAGTCCTATAAAATTACAACATGCTACTTCTAATAGTTAAAGTGCATTAACTCACTCTCTGCTCGGTAAATACACGCACGTTAGTTTAATTGTGCTGGGCTTTGATCTCCTGCAGGTGCTCCTCAGTTGAGAGATGAGAAAAAGGAGGTGAACATGAGTGAGGATGTGGGGAAGTGGGTGAATCTGATATGTGATGCAGGAGGATACCCCAGACCCACAGTTACTTGGAGCATCAGCGGTAGCCCTGTAAGAAACACACAACACCTTTGAGGGCTTTTAAACACACTGACCTTGGCTCCTAATACATATTTGTAGGGGTGAGCTGTTGACCTTTGGGTTGTAATTGTTTTCAGGTCTGGCGAGAGGTTGTGAGAAAAGAGACAGAGGACTCTGTTCAAAGCATAATAACTCTGAAAGTGTCTAGAGACACTGTGGCCACGTGCAATGCTACAAACAAAATTGGGGGGGAGACCAAGAGCTACTTCATCAGAGGCAGTAAGTTTCACAGATTCTGGACAACTCTAGCCAAACTCATCAAGAACCACTGTCACGGTGTCCTTAATTTACCCTTAGAAGTCTACCATTATTTCTGTTGTTAACTATGTGGTTAGTGATGTACCAAGTTACAGTTCGGTTTGAATTTTAATTTGCTTATTTCAACTGTGTGAAAGTGAGAAATAGACGCTTTTGTTATGGCTGCTTATAACTGTTTCTGAGGGTTAATTAAAATAGCAGTACATGTAATGGAAGGTGCTACAGAGATCACACTATCAATGCAACTAGAGAAATATAAACTGGTCATTTGACTTCAGGAAGGTCAGCGAGTGTGAAACAGTTACACAAGCAGATATGAGATATTTAGTGGTTTGTGCTGAGTGTAAAGTTGCATTCTCTTTGCATCTCTCCACAGTTCCCATCATGAGCACGACCTTAAACAACACTGCAGGTAACGACCTCTCACAGCTGCAACCCCCTCACCCCAAACCCCAGCTTTCATTTCTGCCTCCCGATATCCATCCACACCATACAGGGAATGGTCAGACATTTATGAATAATGCCTTCCTTTTTTGTGGAAGCAGTGCAGAAGTTAGATGGGCTCCCCTCACCAGTTCCTGGGCATATTTAAAATTCCGTGTGTAGTAAGGGTGCAACAGTTATTCAACTCAGTCGACTAAAATTGACGGCCAAATTAGTTGGCAACTAATGTAGTAGTCGATTAGTTGGTGACATCATCAGGTGACATCATCATCAAATTTGGTGAACTGAGGACAGCGCTTCCAAACAGTTTTCTGTTTTTCCTGAACGTTTGCAAAGGAGGTAGAACGTACAGGGCAACTGGACAAAGGGTTACAAGTGTTGAAATGTAATGTTTACAAAATCATTCAAATTTAACTGTTCATAGAGAAATTTGCCACAAGCGTTCTCCGCTTTCCCATCCGCTCCATCAGAGCGCATCTTCTCTGCAGCGAGGATTATCTGCTCTCAGAGGAGAGTGAGCCTCTCACAAGAGCATGCAGAGATGATGACTTGTAGCATTTAGTTGCAACAAGTCGAGTCAAAGTTTATATAGTGCTTTTTACAACAGGTGTCGTCACAAAGTAGCTTTACAGAAAAATCCGGGTCCAAACCCCCATGAGCGTCACCAGTGGAGACAGTGGCAAGGAAAAACTCCCTAAGACAAGAGGAAGAAACCTTGAGAGGAACCAAGACTGAAAAGGAGAACCCATCCTCCTCTGGACCACACCGGACAGCAAACAGTTACACAAGAATAACGAGCAAAATAAGCAGAGAATAAGGATTTAACGTTAGTGTAAAATATTAGATCAGATTAGGTGCTGTCTGTCTACACAAAGCACAGAATACATCGTTTAAATGTAAAATGTAAATTTAGATCGTTTTCATTCACTTGATTTAAGGAAAACTGATTTAGTTTTGTTATGTTTTATTGCTGATATTTTGCATGTCCTTGGTTTTAAATTCTGACCGGAAAAAGATTTGGGGGTTTGTTTATCTTTTGTATTAGCAGGAAAGTTCATTAAAACATTATTCATCTTCATTGTAAGCTCAACTTATAGCTCTTCTGGTTAGGGTTGTGCATGCCGACTAACTGTTATATTCAGGTATTTGTAAGAGTTCACAAAATGGTTCACCACTGAGAAGGAAAAAACAGACAAAAAAGGACGGGTTTTGGCTGAAGTGTGTAGCGCTGTAACTTACCTTTCGAAGGTGACAGCACTGGTGTTACACAAAAATTTAACAGCACGCAGAGAAATACATTTCAAAACATGCTCTATTATTCAAAATAGCTGAATAAATGCAACAACAAGGCTGAGAAATCACGTTATTAATGGAGAGGAGCAGATTGCCTCAAATGACCTAATGAGCTAAAACAACCGCTAACCAGTACAACCCTGCATGTTGATGGAGAGGCTTTTTTCCTCTTCAGTGGATAATACGAAATCATTCTGGTTTGTTAGAAAAATACAGTTTCAATACTGTTTCTAGATTTAACATCAGCCTAGCTTTTCAGCTCTGAGAGCCGTGCAGTCCCTGTCCCCACGTTCTTACCAGTGCAAAAGCGCCCACATCAAGGCAAAGTACTTATTCCCAAGTATGAGCAAAACTTTCACAGTTCAGCTATATATAAATATAAAATCAATGTTGCACCAAATTGTCAGCCTGTATATTTTGTCTGTCTTCCTGTGATGAAACGTAACAAGTACCTAAATAGTGATTATAGCGTTAAAATGCTGGCACCTTGAATGGTTACCTGAGCGCCCGTGCACATCCCTACTTTTGTTAAAACCAGAGTTTATTCCAGCTGCTGCCATGCCGTGAATTGGTTTGTAACTGAGTTTTGTGAAGTACTATTATATATGAGCAGAACACAGCACTGATCCTGGCAATACTAGTGGTGTCAATAATGTTAGCACTGGAGGACTTGATGTCCAAAACATTGTTTTGTGACAGTACTGAGATGAACCTTTTTTCAGTCCATTCCTGGCTGTTAGATGCACGCAGAGACTTTGTACAGTAAAATAATCCCCCCAGAAAAGGTATTTTTCAGATTTACCTCTATTTGAACCTTTTTAGTATTACATATAAAAACGTAGACACTTGTAAGCTCACTGGTGGTGTTAGAGAGTGAATAAAATGGCTGTATCATAAGCCCTGATTCCCATCACAACTACTGTGAAGAAATCGGAGTCGGTAAGTTATTTCTGCAGTGAACAGTTTCATATCAAAACACTCAAAGCCTTTGACTTTGTTTACATCTTAACGATTGAATTAAACAGAAGTTTTAAAAGATTGCAGTAATAGAGGCTGGCAGGTTTTCTTTTCATCGGCGCAGTGGCCACTGTTAATGTTAGTTAACATTCCTCCGCCCATTGCTTAGTAACAGAGACTTGCAGTGCGCTTTGGTATACATTCAGCCGATGTAGTGATCTGTGGTGAGTGCACTGTGGAATTTTATAACGCCCTCAGAATCATTCTGGAATTCTATTTTATGATTAAGACGCTTACAGAAATATGTCGGACTTACTCAACAGTGCCCTACAAGAATCGATATCCATCCCTAGTCTTGTTCTCGTGGTGCCAGACGTGATCTCGTAGTCCACGTCTCAGGGCACCTTGTTAAACGCTTGGTTCTGGATTGTGGTGAAATCTGCCGCTGACAGGGTTACGCCCCTCTGAAACCCCAATTCCCCTCGCCCATGCTCCTTTAATGTTCAGTACGACTGATAACACACAACAGGCTACTGAGTTCACCATCGCTCACCACTTTGAGCTCCACCTTCACAAGCCATTGGATTGGGTTAGAAAATTTCAGACTCAGTTTGTTTTCATGCTAATAAGTCTATGGTCCAGCCCACATTTAGCCCAAAACCGCTCATGGTTGTGCTCAGACATTTTTGTTTCGAGATGATGTCTGGCTCCAGCAAGACTAGTTGAACACAATAGTATTCTTGGTTCTGTAGCATCAGAAGCACTTGGTGTATGAATACAGGAGGAAGATTGGGAAGATTTGGTGAACTTTCCCTTTCAGTATAAAACATTACACTGTATCACTTGCCATGACCTTCTTTGGGTTCTTAATATTTGTTAACATGCTAATAGGCTATTGGCAGCCTATTGTACTGCTAACGCACAGCCTGTCTTCACTGTTCCTCTAGTCGATAGCAGCGAACTGGCCAACAAGGTCATTGTTGTCAGCATTCTTTTCCTGGCCGTCTTTGGCAGCATCCTCTTCTTCGTGTACAAGAAGGGCAAGTTACCGTGCGGACGTTCTGGCAAACACAAGATGTAAGTGTTTCTTCGGTATTATTCGGTATTAACTTTTCCAAATATTTGTGTACTGTTACCACAGGATGTCTGCAACATGTATGTATTACAAAGATCACAAAGTCTACAAGATTCACACGGAAAGTTTTACATCATATGTAAAACATACACACAAATTCAAGATGGCGCCGAGTATGGCTGCCGTGTTGCGAGCTCCCTTCTATCCTATCTATAGTTTTGTTTATCTATGTGTAAATACTGTTCTCTGCATAATTTGTGGAACTCGCACTCAAGTTTTTCACTCACCTGTGTCCCTGTACTCTTGTGATGTGACAATAAATCTGATTTGATTTGATTTGATTTGATTTGATATGTATTGTTCTTTGTCGCACACTTGAGTGCCTCCATACTTGAAGGGACTCTGGCCAACATGGCAGGCTTTACCATCACTACATCTGTTGTAAACAGGCTCACACTTGTCCTTTCTAGAGCAAGGTTTCACAGTTTAAAGACTAGGAAAACACTAGCTCATCTGATGATGTACCTTGAAGGAGGAAGGAACTGCTTTTGGGTGACGTTTTAGGGATGGGCTGTTTTGAAAGGGTTTATTCCGGTTAGATGGTGAACGCAGAAGGAAGGCCAATAGCTAACGTTACTGCTCGGAGGCCGAATATCTTATTGCAGCCGTATAACTGTAGTAACTTCATTCATATTGTCATTACTGTGTACAGAGTGGATCACTAAAACAGAAGAAATGACTCATCAGATGAGGAAGACTTGCTAAAAGCTGAAGTTATCAAGGGAGCTGGATATTTAGATACCATACCTCAGTTTGCTTTCTTTCTCTGAACGGGTACAAAAAAGGTTCAGTGGTGTTTTTCTGTACAATGTAGGATCAGTGATTATTGCGCTAGGATTTACTCTAATGCTAGCTTGGTTGTATTTATTAGCTCATAGATTAGTGACTAGGCTAGTAGTCACGATTGGTCGATTCTCAGAGGTTGTATGATGTATTTGAATAATGCATGCTGGGTATCGTAGTGGGAGCGCACTGATGAATGAAAACATGGAAACAGCGATGAGGCTGAGGGACAGATAACACTGCTAAACACGAACAGCATATTCAGCTCTAGTTTTAGGTCAGAATGTCTGTTTAAGAACAACTCCTTTTCCACAGGATATAACAGAATAATTACTAACATGTCAGTGATCATGAGGTTCACTTCATAGATAGTAAACGCTTTCCGTTTATACACCCGGCAACCGGCATTTAAAAATAATCCCGTCCGAATAGTACTTCTGCATGCAGCTCCGTTCCCCAATGCTGCAGCATATTGGAGTGTAGCATTTCAATCTCTACAGCAGTGATCGCTTCGGCACCAAGGAGGAAACCAGTGATGAGGGCATCTTCATGGAGGTGAAGGGAGATGAGACAGAGACCTCGGTACCACTGAAGGATGTCCATGACAATAAGAAACCACCCGCTGACCAGGTAACTATATAACCTGAGGGAACGACAGCAAGTGGACTCTTCTATTCTCGTACATACTCTCACTGGCCACTTTATTAGAAACACCTAGCTCCAACTTACTGGTCTGCAGAGACTGTTGCCCATCTGTTGTTTGTATTAGTCATTCTTAGGCCCTCCATCAGTGGTCACTTTTTGACCATAGAGCTGAATATTTTTGGGTGGTGGACCACTGCAGCAACCCCAACAACACTACTGTGTCTGATACACTTGCACCAGCACCACACTCACTCCCGGATGTGGCGAGAAATTCTCAACTTTTACACATAATTCAGTCATTAAGATGTGAACAAATTTAGCCAACCATTGATGTGAAATGGTCAATTCTACAAAGTCAGAATTGTCAGAAAATTCCAGGAACCAGACGTCTGAAGCATTTAATGCCTTCAAAAGTTCTATGACAGAAAGATATTACAGAGAACGGTTACAGGTCCATTGCCTGATAACTGAGACATTGCTGAGAGGGTTCAGGGCTAAAACTGCTATTTTTGAATACATTCATGGAGTAGATGTAAAACAGGGTGTCGAAACGGTGCCCAAAGAAAATCATTATCAACATTTCATATGTAAACTCGTGTAGGTTCACTGGACTTTTCAGATGGTAAACAAACTGTATTTGCATAGTGAACATTAAACGACTCCTGGTTCCAGCCACCACCACCGTAAAGACAGGTAAGTCGGTGAGTTTCTCTACAGTGAACCACTTCAAGAGCCTCACAGCTCAATGACTGAATAATATGGAAATTCTAAATGGGTTCAGTGGGGCTAACATTCATCTTACACTGACATCATCTTTCTTTCTCTTTCTTTCCTCCTTTTTTCCTGGAAGAAAGTACGCAGACCTACACAGGTAACATGGAAAGCAGCCAAGGACTGAGCCCTGTTCAGTGCCCCCCACTGACTCAGCCATCAAGAGTCAGGATGTGTGGATAGGGTCTGGTGGAGCAGCCGTCTTTGTTGAATAAAGAAGACTTGGGACTTTGTTCTTTTCTTTTTCTGAGCAGGTATTCCTGATTGGGTGTATTGGGCTACGGTGAGCTCAGTCACATCTTCCTCTTTTTTTCTACCTCAGCATGTGTTCACTGCACATAACTGTTCATGTAAAAGTTCCTGATGCCTGTTCGGTTCTTTTTGCGCGCCTACATGTGTTCGGTGAGGGGAACGGGGTGATGTTTCGTCTCTGCGAAGCGCGCTGTGCGTTTTAAGGGAATACTTCTGTCAGCAGTGCTAACGTTGCTAACAGTGAGTGAAAACAAACACTTGCCAGTTAGCATTGCAGATGCCATCATGCTAATTGGGACTTTCGCTAGTGTTCTGTAAAAAGTTGGTTGCTGATAAAGAACTCACAGATGGGTCAGTTGGTGTCTACAAGGTTTTGTTCACTGTTAGGCACATTAGCACGTTTTCTCAGGCTGTTCATTTAGAGAGAATAGCATGACGCCTTGGCTTGTTGACCTGCTGACCTTGGGCCGAGGGAGTCCTTCTCCTTAACTGCTGTGTTTGAGTAAGTTTTTTTTGTGTTAATTCTTTGGGAAGTGTGACCCAGTTCAAACACCAGTGTGTACATGATCTCAGTATGTGCTGCCAATGCATTTAACATAAAGCTAGTGTTGTAGCACTGGTCTACATGTCTGAGGGTGATGGAATGCATAGACAGTCAATCTGCACCACGACTTTCACAGTGCAGCTAGAGGTAGTTACAGTTATAATAACTCAGGTTAACTCAGGAGTCTCCTTTAGCCAGGGGCCACGTCTTTTCAATAGGAATGGGAAGGCATGCTCCTATTGGACAGTCCTTGCTCTGGGTTTAAAGGAGTTAGGGATGCACCGATATTGGAATCGTGAGCTGATGTGTGCCAGTATCTGATATTGTTCATGTTCATAGTTGCCGATGCCGATACAGAAATACGTTAAACGTTTAGAAACTGGGACGAAATTCACCTGGATTAGCATTACAGAGAAACATAACATTTCTTTGTAGAGAGTTATAAATGCAGTAATATGAATAAAATGCAGTCTTAGCACAGTGTCGTCTAAACCTTCTGCTCTTCCGGAGTCCAGTAAACGTGTAATCAAATATAGGTCTGAAATAATGCATCAAAACGAAACATCAGTGGTTTGTTTTTAAAGCAAATGTCTGCTGATATGATTCCGATATCCGTGTGCATCCCTAAAAGCAATGCTCCAGCACTTCTCAGCCTCATTTCTGTTTTCTGCATCTGTAGCATGTGGTCAGTTACCACGGACAGTGATGCTGGCAAGTTTTCTGTAATCTGTAAAAACACGAGTGTTTGTTTTGAGTTACTTACTGAGCCACATGCAAGTGAAAGTCACGGTAAACTACTGTAAGACAGTTAGATGCCTCCCGCTCGTCGCCGTGAACGTCTTCAGTACAGGGTTCAGCAGGACAGACGGGATCATCCATGTACATAAGCATGTCCGCCTGTGCAGTTCCTTTCTTTATATACCGTGTTTTTTTTTTTTTCAAAAGAAAAAGCCAAATAAAGCTGTTACGTTTAAAATGAATGTTGCCTGTTAAATTGTTTCACAAATAGAAGAAAGCAGTGCCAGTGCTACCTTGCAGGGTCTTTACTGATCAGGTCAGCACTATTTGTGAGTGGGTTTCACTTGAAAATGGCGAGGAGGTTTTTAGTAAAGCCTCTCTGACTCTTTTAGCTCAAGCTAAAAGAGTCACTTTTTTCCACGAGGCTCCTTTGGTGCAATATTGACTGCAAAGAGCATATTTGCTTAGCTTGAACCACAGTGATGCTGTTTTTTTGTATGCAGCCTATCAGAGCAGAGTTCATTTACACACATCACTCTTGAAGGCACAGTAACACAAACAGACTATTTCATTGTAAGGCATAAAGAGAAGTTGGAGAATTTTCATGTAAAAATGAATTGTGACTGTTTTGGTACATAAACCCTCACAAATGTCACAAATGTGCCCCAGGAAACATATATACATATACATATACATATACATACAGCAAATTACAAGAACACAGTGAGTTATGAGGGCTTTAATGTAATCCAAATTCAATTCCTGGTGCTGTTGGATGTTCATGAATCTGTATTTTATAATGGCTGGAACATCATTTAGCTTGTAACGCGTCTCACATACTCCTCTATTCCAGGACATTAAAACTAACATGCAAAAACCGGCTGAGCTCCCATTCAAAGCTTTGGTTTCATTGCCACACAGCAGTCCGAGATAATAAGCAGAGAAAAGGCGCCCTCTGCTGGGGTTTAAGAGGCACAAATCAAATTGGATGTTTGCCTTTTCATCGTTTGTCTTTTTTTATTTGTCTGTACTGCGACATAGAAAAGAAAATGCCACAGTGATTATTTTATTATGTAAATTTGGCAAAAATATGCAGAAACTTAAACTGCAAACAGACAGATTGTGCTATATGTTTCATTTTGGTGTGCTCTTTTCGTACTGCCCAATGAAAATAGGTTTTATAATCCTCATCTTATCATTTTACTGTTAAGTTTTTGACATGTCCGTCTGTGCTTCTCGTCTTTTGTTTCGCTCAGATTGCCCAGCAGTCTGGACGCAGTGCATCATGGTTATTGTAGTTTTTAGGGACACCTGTTCACTTTGAAACGATGTCTCAAATCTCTACTCCGTAAGTAGTGCACTATGTAGGTAATATAGAGTTTTGCACCCATGTTAGAGCGTTATATATATAATAGAGCGCTATCTAACATCTGGTGCACTATTTGGGTGTAGAATTCATAGTGTCCTGACCAATGTAGTGCGCTATATAGGGAGCAGGGAGCCATTTGAGATTCAACTCTTTCTCTGCAAATGTAGATGCTTAATATTTCATGAGATTTTCATGAGAGCATTACTTTTAATTCTGTGTCTTCCACACAAGACTATTCATTTGTTTTATAATTTAATTCAGGAACAAATGTCCTAATTTCGCTACTCTACAGTGTGTTTCTCCTGCCCTACGGCTCCACTCGCTGCCTCATTATCAAGACTACTTTAGACTGAAATGGCTGAAAATACAAAGAGAGCTGAGGGAGGCCTCTTACTTTGTGCTGTATACTGAGAAATCTTGCTGTGTGAAACATTAGGAGACCGGGACAACACTGTTCTAGTTACGCTACTGCTGTGCTTTAAAGGGCCATATTGGCCATTTTTCTTGGGTGTAATTTTTTCCTTCTGTTAAACTGAATCTGACATGGGCTCTTTAATCACCACTGCAGTTCTGTGACACAGTAGCAGGGGGCGCTCTTCTTCTCGCATGCTGTGTCAGACAGCTTGTAGAGAGGAGAGTCACCACTCTGTAATGTCTTCTTTCTCAAACGCTAGAGGGCGCTCCTGAGCCAGTCCTGAATGAATGGGTTAAGATGGAGCGTTTGAGCAAAATCATAGTTTATAAATGCTAAATCTTTATCTTGGCTTTAACTTGGCTTAAATTCAGTTTGAACTTCTTTCTAGTGCAATCGAATGCGTCACAATTACAAAGAAGGCGCTTACATGTATTGGGTTTCCCCGGCTGGCTTTTAATCTCCTTATTTTTTTGTTTTGATCGATGTAACGTCTTTAATTTAGTCTTATTTCAGGTCGAACTTCTTTCCACCGCAATCGAACGCGTCACAATGGCATCGCAGGCGCTTGCATCCAGTGGGCCGCCCCACCTGGCTTTTAATCAACTTATTTTTCGTTTTGATCGTTGAAATGTCTTTAACTTAGTCTTATTTCAGTTCGAACTTATTTGCACAGCAATCGAATGCGTCACAATGACAAAGAAGGCGCTTGCATATGGCGGAGAGCGGGAGGTTGATTTTAATCCGCTTAATTTTCTTGATTTTTTGTGGTGACTTCGTTGTTTTGATCGTTGTAATGTCTTGAATTAATTTTTATTTCAGTTCGAACATCTTTCCACTGCAATCGAACGCGTCACAGTGACAACGCAGGCGCTTGCATATGCCGTATTGCAGGGAGATGGATTTTAATCTGCTTAATTTTCTTTTTTTATTGTGGTGACG